TTAATTTTTTTTTTATGCTTTTATTTGTAAATATATTTTACAAATTTAATTTGCTAAAATAATTTGTATTTTAATAGGTGACTCCAGGTTTAGGAGTAATATCTGTAATTTTGTCAATATTTATACTGTATGAACCAGTACGTGGTGAAGTTGAAGGAGGATGCCATGTTAAAAATGTTACTTTTATGCATGATCTACGTGGCCTCATAAAAAAGTTAGTTTGTTTTATAAATTATTTATTACAATTACAATATGAATTGTCATGTATTTGATATAAGATTTCTTCCCCCATTTACAATTGAAACTGAATAAAATACATAATAAAGACATAAAAAATTGATATGATAATATTAAAGATTATAAAGAATCATATACAAACATTTTTAAAATTCTTAAGTGTAGTAAATAGCCAATATTTACTACACTTAAGAATACACTTAAGGATCTTTGTGTAGTAAATAGCCAATATTCAGAAATCAGAAAAAGTTTATTGTCTATTGGGAATTACTTCCCTATTACAAAGGGTTGTAGTTTCATGTGTCCATATTTATCTTTAATAAAACAATATTTTTCCATTAATTATTTAATTTGCACTTATTACTTGCGTATATATTCACATATTCTTTAATTTAATTTATTTTGTTATTATAAGTTTCTATTATTTTACAAAAATAATTATAAATATTATATAATTCTTTTTTACTCATATTGTTAAAATTTTTTAACAATTCTATTAGCGAGTTGCATTTATAAGTGCTATTTATATCATAATGTTCACGAAGTTCCTTTAACTTTGGACATGTTAATATCAAATGGTAAGGTGTTAAAACGTCAGCATTACATAAAAAACATTTAGTTAGTAAACTTATATAAGTATTGTTAACATACAGCGAATATTTGTTTAGACGAAGTTGCATTATAAATCATTTTATGTTCAAATTTACCGATTGCCATATATATGATTGCATTGAAGGTATTTCAAATATATCCAAGTACCACGAGTGATATTTACTGCTATAAAGAGAGTCCTGATCTTTTGTTATAGATTGAGCTATAGCTGATTCTAACATCAATGAATAACCTGTTTTCCAATCTTGAATTTTATCTTTAAATAATAGAACTGATACTCCAAAGGAATTGAAGATAGTTTGCAGCTTGTTATACCATAGTTGTTTATTTTTTGTAGTTTACTTCGTCTAATATTTTCATGGTATAAAATAAATAGCCAATATTTGTCATGTTACAAGAAATGTGATAAATATGTATATGATCCTTGTAAAATGTATGGTCTGTGAAAGGAAGTAAAAACACATGTTATATTGTATGAATTTTGAGGTATTTTCAAGCATAGTCAATCAGACTATATGTACAGTACATTACCATTAAATTAGTTATGATAAAATAGCCAGTTGAAATATTAATGCATTCTTTAAAGATAGAAAGCTCTTAATCTGGACCTAGCAACATTTGGATGATGAGTATGAGGTAGGTTGCAGAGTAAATTTAAAGTTAAAAGAACTTGAGAAAATATATTTAAGGAGGAAGGGTTAGCCATGGCCCAAATTGATTAACCATAATTGACAATACATTATTCAAGATGTAATGCTAGAGTTTTTACTATTTTATCAATGTGGCATTTAAATGTAAGTTTATAGTAAAAAATTATGTAGAAATCATTTATGGAATTGATGTATTTTAAAGAAATTGTATTGATAGAAAATGATGGTAAAGGAGTATCCAGAATGAGAGAGAAGCATTTATGTGCTAAAGCATTTCTATTTCATGTGTATTAATTTTGAGGTTGTATTTTTTTGAAGAGTTTTCAAATGATGTAAGTTGTTTTAGAATGTCAGAGTTGGTTTATTAGTTTTGCATCAACATATGTGATTATAGTAGATTCAAGTTGGCCAAGAATGTTGTTAATGTAAACATAGAAGAAAAGAAGAATATAAAGTATTTTATATAAATTCATAATTATTCACATTTTTAAACTAGTACTGATACAAATGTGGATTATAGAGCAATAATTTTTCCTACAACAATATTAACAAATAGCTGCTTATAAGACATCTGAGAAGAAAAATTTGTCATTTTCAAAATTTATTGGTATCATATTTCAGTTTTACAAGTTTTTGTGATGGTTTAACACTTTCTACATAGCAACTGTATGAGATATAAATGCATCCTTGAATGTTTTCTTCTGCTGTCTGTACTTTTTATGAGCATTTGTTTAGCTTTCTTCTAAACATGTCTTCTCATATTTCCTACGGGCATAAACTCTAGCACATGTCAATAGATGAAGCTAGAAGTTAAATATTTAAAATTTTTCAGTTTTTATCAAATTTTACTTAATAACATTAATAATATTAATATTAAATAATTTTAGTTCTTTTAGGTCAAATAAGCAAAAACATCATAATTATTGCACTCTAATGTATTTCCTATGGAGTGGTAATTAATGTAATTAGTGGGATGACATAAAAACAAAATCAAAAACTAAAATTCTATTCCACACATCATCAAATCTTTTGTCAAATGGTAGAGAACAACCAATCAAAGGAAATAAACAATTACCAAATCAGATTTAAATGGGAATTTTTCAAATGGTGCAAAATAAAGCTATAAAAAATTGATTTTTCATCCTTTTGTATTAAATTTAAATTATCAACAAATCCTTACTTATTATATAGCAANATACATGAAAAATCAATTTTTTTTTTTCTTTATTTTCTGACTTATGGAGGGTAGGTAACTCCAAATTTCTAAAACATTATATCAATAATGAAATAAAAATTAAAGTTAAAAAAAAAGGTAAAAGCAAACCCAATTGCAGAGAAACACTTTATTACACTTTCAGACTCCCTAAATGCATTTCACCAAAAATTTAGGCCTCCTTCAATAGGGTTTTCAGCATACAGTTCAAACTCCAACAATATTACCTCGCGGGTTTTCATTATGAATTTCCATCTATATATCCGACAAAAGTTTCCCAGCAAATTGTAAAAATTGTTTATAAGGAAAAAAATAATAATGTGAAAAGAAAAGTTAAAGAACATTTTGTCATAATAATTATACAAAATAATACAGTTAATTTAATTTGGGCATGTTGACAGCTGCATGCTGGGAAACTTTTGTCGGATATATAGATGGAAATTCATAATAGAAACCTGTGATGGAATATTTCTGGAGTTTGAACTGTATGCTGAAAACCCTACTGAGGAGGCCTAAATTTTTTGGCAAAATGTATTTAGGGAGTCTGAAAGTGTTATAAAGTGTTTCTCTGCAATTGGGTTTGCTTTTACGTTTTTTTAATTTTATATCAATAATGAAATAAAAATTGATGTTTTAGAAATTTGGGATTACTTACCCTTTGTAAGTCAGAACAGAAAGAAAAATTTATTTTTCGTATATTTTTTGTACAATACAATTAAGTAAGAATTGTATATTTGTATTAGTTTATCATTNAAGATATTTCCTATGGAGTGGTAATTAATGTAATTAGTGGGATGACATAAAAACAAAATCAAAAACTAAAATTCTATTCCACACATCATCAAATCTTTTGTCAAATGGTAGAGAACAACCAATCAAAGGAAATAAACAATTACCAAATCAGATTTAAATGGGAATTTTTCAAATGGTGCAAAATAAAGCTATAAAAAATTGATTTTTCATCCTTTTGTATTAAATTTAAATTATCAACAAATCCTTACTTATTATATAGCAATTGAAGGGATAAATGTTGTTTATCATAGACTATCAATAAAAAATCAGTTATTTGTTTTCAAACAGTACAATTATAAAAAAATGCAAAAAAAAAAAACTCAGAGCATGGAAAACATAACCAAAAATGTTAATTGTTGAGACAAAACATATTTGAATTAGGATCCAATTTTAAAAGATTTTTTGAATGATCTGTTTCACAGAAAATTCAAATATTTTAAGTACTTCAGTAATAAAAATTTGTTGTTTTTATTTTTTAATTTAAAATAACATATAATAAAAGATATAGAATTATTAATTGTCTGGATTGGTAGTAACATAAATTAAATAACTTAAATTTGTAATCAAAGTATTTCAATGTTTTAAGTGTTCCAATTCCGATATTCTAATAGGTGAAGACTCGCAATTACAAGTATTGCTTGTATAACACAGTAGTTATGTTCCAAAAAAGTTTCATGTTAAGCAAATCCATGTTATACAAAACAAAGGACTAATGAAAAACATATGGTTACATTCCAGAAATTAGTAAAAGTATACAATTTTTTTTCATTACTAAGAGAAATATGTTTATTAAAGCAATCAATAATTTAGAGCCATACCAACTACTGTATAATATTGGGCTATATTCTGGCTATTATACAGCAGTTGGTGTGGCTTTATGTAATGTATCATATTTCTACCAAGTGTGCACACAATTTCAGTTACTGACAACACTTTCATACAACAATTGGCATACATCGACATCACTATCTAACCATTCAGCCAATAATTGAAGGAACACGTAATTTCAATAAATAAGGGGCATAACACTACCACTTTAGCCCTCCTGCTCAAGGAATGCCAGATTCAAATGGATCTGCATGAGGCTTGACTTCTATATAAAATAAGGTGTCCCATTAATAAACAAACAATAAATTCTTACTGGAACTAAAACAAAATATAAAATAATATAAATAACACCTTTTTAATGGTCCCAGCAAAATCATTTAATTCTATAAAAAACGTTTTCAACCGATTTTAGCGGTCTTCATCAGTTATTCTAATATTAAAAAGAACAAAGCATTTGAATTTATGCAATACAAAAATAAATAAAATCAAACTGCAATTGTGCAGAACAACAGAAAAATTGCTTGTGGGTTATTCAAATTACAAAAACATAAAAAATAAAATAAATAAATCGGTCAAACGTTTTTTATAGAATTAAATGATTTTGCTGGACCGTTAAAAAGATGTTATTTACATAAAATAATATAAATATTAGATATATTAGATATAGAATTTTTGTGCCCACTCCCTAAATTTTTTGCATTTTGTCAGAATTACTTAAATATGAAGTTTCATTTTAAAAGGATGCTGACTTGAGCACAAAATTTGAGTACTAGGAATGATTGGCGTAAGGGATATTAAGCAACAGTAAAAAACTCAATAATTAAGAAATATAACATTTTATTAAGCTTTTGATATAGTAGTCATATGTAATATTCAATTACAAGGTTAGAAACTACTGTGAATTCTTTCTCTTTAATGTTTGTTGTTTTTAAATCTGGATATAGCCTTTGATGGTCTTGCATACAACTCAATGCAAACCCCTTTTGTTTCTCATTCACAGTCGATAATCTGTGAAAGTCTTGCAATAAATTTAATAGCTTTTTCAGCAGAATCATTTACATCTTTTATCATGTTAACTGTCCTTTAGGCTGCTAAATATGAAGTGTTGTTTTTCCACATTGTAAGGCATTGCGAAAGGATCTAGGACATTCTATGACCTAGAGAAAACTTGTATTTATTTGTAGTCAAGAAAAGAATGCTCTACTCTGAATTGATACAAAGTCATTGATTGTTTTCTCTACAGTGAGAAACAAATCAATGAGATCAGTGATTTGTTTGCTGTTGTCTGGGGATGCAGTTTTAGTTCATGGTAGGTTACTACTGTGACTCGCCTGCATAGACTAGTGTGTGAATGTTTGAGAGAGTAGAAATAGAATGAGTGCATTCTGGTAATAAGTGTTCACATAGTGTAGCGATTTTCCTACTGTTTTAGAAATGTTGATTTTGGGAATGTGTGACTGTTCTGCAGGGTCAGTGCCTGTAAATTTAGTGAATGCTTCTTGGAAAAGGAGAGAGGGTATGAATTTAACCTGAATCTATTTCAGGTAATGAAAAAGTGTTGATACTGTCAGCATCAGTGAAAATAGTGGTGGTAACATCAGTATTGTCAATGCATGTATCTTGATGATTCTGAAGGATTGTGATCATTGTTAATGTTGGAAGTATTTGTTTGTTGGAGAAATTCTTCTGCAGTTTGTTGTTTGATATGTTCTAGTATCATTTATAGTATAACTAGCAGACCCCGCCACGTGTTGTTGTGGCTCAAAATGTATCTATTATAAATGTATAACACTTCCCCCGTGGGGAAAATTTTTCGAAAAATTTCTTCTTAGTATACATTCTCTTGACGTACCCTATTAAAATGCAATCAAAAACGCAAAAACCCGCATCTAAAATAATATAATAGAAGCCAAGTTCTTCACAGTAAGCCTTAATTCTGTCCCTCTTCCCCACAGGGGAATATCGAANCTGAACCTTTTTTGATCAACAACTTTTATACAGTGACTTTGAGATGAGAGTATTCTGAAAACAAATGATGTAACTGTTGTCTGTATGCTGTCATATCTGTTTTGAGATTTGTTATGGTGTAGTAAGTATGGATGATAAACTCATTTATTTCCATTGTCCATTTTATCTGTTGGCATGATTTTTCAGCCTTTGTGGTCTGTGAATGCATTGTCACAGAAACACCAAGGCTAGGTTGGTTCCTCACATCTGTTGAGGGTATTGCAGTAGCCATGTTTGGGCCAGCACTGCTTTTGCTACCAGTAGCCAAGGGAGACAGTGACCTATTTTTTGGACATGATACTCTGCCTAACCCATGAATATGAACCTTGTTAAACTTATATAACGAACTAACTGGATAAATATACTATGAATAAAACTTAAATAATTGTATACTTGCTTACTGGAGATTAAATTCAATAAAAATAAAAACCATTCAACTATCCAGCATAATTCTTTAATAACATAAGAACGTTTTCAAACACATTAAGCGTTCATCATCAGTTAATTTCTTTAATTCGAAATGGGAAATTTGAAAAAATTACGCAAACGAATTTCAAATAAACGGTTATGTAAAAATTAAAAGGTAACATGTTATAAATGAAAGTGATACAAACAAATTTCCGTGTGTTTAATAAATAATAATAAAATAAATAAATAAATAAATAAATAAAATATCTATGAAGGATCATCCTAAGCCTGATTAAGCCTTTTATATAGATCTATGCCAATTCGTCGCAAAATGATTTCCAAGCGGACGAAAGCCCGTCAGCATCCCTATAGTTGATACACTGCGTGCTCTTCTGTGTTTTGTGGATTTCCATCTTTTTGAGATATTTTACTGTGTGTCTAGATCTGGTAGCTTTTATTATAGAGGCCTGGTCCCAGAAGACAGTAATGCCTTGTTGTTTAGCATAAGTGGTAAGGACCATACTGTAAACTGTTTTGTTCACTGAAAGCTTATGCTCGTTGATTCTTTTTTTCAAATTCCTCAAAGTTGTGCCTATATATACTAAGTTAGGTAATACGTATATATACTATATTAAAGATGTGTTTTATTCATAGAACCTTGTTAACCCAGGCAACACCCAAGCCTATATCACACTTAGACCTGGTTACTATCATGGTAATTATCTCCACAGAATGTGGGTGTGGTCACTCTTAGCTTTGTTTCTCCCCATAGATGTTACTGGCATGGGTGTCCTACCAGAAACTTGTGCTACAGTCTACGTTACTCTATGGATCAATAAAATTACTGGGCTCTCCCACCACGACCAAGTGGTGACCATGGGAGAGTTGTTATTATTATTATTTCTGAATTATAAATATTCACTGAAAATCACTGAAATTAAAAAACAAATTCTCAAGAAATCTGCAATAAAACCATTTTTTGACAGTTAATATCTCAAAAATCATGTGGTTTGTAAATAAAAATATCTTTAGACTTGAAAATTTGTTACTATCCTGGCTTTTATGTGTACATATCAAGGGAGAGTATTGGAATTGTGTTAAATTTGACCCTTTGTTTTGCAAATCTCCAGAACCCCCAAAAATAATAATAAAATGGAGAAAAAATTGCTTATGTGTTTGTATGTTTTGATGTCTATTTTGTTTAATATCTCAGGATGTGATAAAAATTGAATGAAATTTGGCATGTTAAGGGATGTTGATGCTATTAAATTTTGGTGGTTAAAGGTTGAGTGGAATGGGAGATAGAGGGGGAGGTTTGTGTCATATATTGAGAGGGGTCAGACTTAGTGAAGATTTTATTAGTTATTAGCATTTACAATTTTTTATAAAACTTAGAAAGCTTAATTATGAGTCATTTTATAATAAATAATATAAAAAGATGAGATTTTATTATAAAAATAACAGCTGGGAAAGTTATGAAACTTATTGCTTGTTTTTTGTGTCAATATTTTTTATTTTATGTTATTGAATGTAATATTGTGAAGAATAGTATAAATATTCAACTAACATTATTTTCCAAATGTTCCCATTTAGTCGTATTGAATTTATTTTGAATCTTAATTATTAGCCGGACATTGATGTGGTCTACTGCAGGATTCACTTGTGTGACATTCGCTACTGGTGCTTTAGCCTGGTGGGCACCTATTTACATGACATATGCATCAAGCATTGAAGGTGAAAATAAAACTGAAGAAATGTAAGTTTTTGTAAGTTAATTTCTGTATTTTATGAATTATTTTTGAAAAATCATTAGAACTATAAAAATCTGTAGTGAAAAAATTAAAATTTTATGCATACATATTGAATTATTCAAATATTACACCAAATATAGAGGATGAAGTTTTATTCAATATTTTCATTCTAGCTTCTTGTTCCATTTTAATTTTAGTTTCAAAAAATTCAAGGCTTATAGTATCATTTTTTATGGACTTATCATATAGGATAAGTATCTGTATGATAAGTCCATAAAAAGCAAAACTATAAGCTTTGAATTTTTTGAAACTTTTATTCAGCAGATCATATTGTGAAATAATAAAAAAATTTTATTGTTTTTATTTGTTTTATTGCCAATTTCTCTCTTCTTTCTATAATATTCAAACAACCATAAATATCTGTTAAATAATAGCGTTATTAGTATTGAAATCAGGCATAAATAAATAGTAAACACTATCAGCTTTATTAAAATATTATTTCTAAAAATCATCCCATTTATTTAACTTAATTGTAAAATTAACATTTTTCAATTTGAAACAGACATGTTAGTTTTCAGAGACAATGTTTATTTTTTTATATATAATTCTACATCAGGGATGATTAATATTTTAAAAAACTCAAGTGGTCTGACATGATGTTGTGAACCATATTTTCTAGAAGCCTTGTCAGAGACCTACCCTTATATAGAACAGGTCTAAGAAAACTCAATCTTCAGAACAGTTGCTATTGTTTCCATGCTTCAACTCCATATTGCACAACAGTATTCACTCTTCCACTTATCTCCACTCTCCTTCCAGACACACCAATCACGTGATCTTTTTGGAAGTGCTGTCTGAAACCAACTAATATAAATAGAGTTAGAAGAACAAAGCTCAGAATTAGTCAATTTTAGAAGAATAAAGAAAGGTTAAAGAAGCAACGAAATAAATAAAAAGTAATAGCTTGATTAAGTCACATAGTAGTATTGTATCTAAAAGGATCTCCTAAAGAATTCTGCAAAAGCTGGAAAATAATGCTATGGTCCAATTTGCAACTGAGCCTGGAGTGTCACCATGTTGGGATGAGGCTAAGCTTCTACATATTGCCTTTGATATACAACAGCTAAGAATAATAGAAGCTATTAAAATTTATAAAGTAATACTCAAGGGAAGCTACATTAATAGTAAAAAAAATATTAATTAACATGTTGCAAGTGTGTCAAGCAATGATTTGTTACCTCCAACTGTAGTGAACTTTAACATAATGTTGTAAATTTTGTCATCTCAATCATTAGTTATTAATGTGTGTTACAGCATTTAAAATTTTTTCTACTCTATCTCTAGTCATCTTAAGGAAAGCTGTGTACTATACATGGTTTAAAAATTTTTATTATGTCATATTTCATCATTATGTACATTACGTTTTATTTTTTGAATCTGAATATTACTGGATTACATATAGATTATTTCTTTTTTAAAAAGTTGTTTAAGTAATCACATTTGATTTATGAAACATATAATAACCTGACAAAGATCTCTGAAAGTAAACCTCATCCTGCTGAGAGGTCTGTAAGCAGTTTGCTTGCTGAGCTGGTGTGGTGGCCCAATGCCACCCCACCTGCACAGCAATTTATGTCCCTAAATTAGTTATGACATGTTGTGTTGTGACACATGGACAACCTTCATTGTATTGCCTTCGAACATCTTGGTCACATTGGAATCATTGCCAAAGCCTATAGATAATGCATTCGGTTTCTGGAACACTTGTCTCTGAGTTTGGCCAGTCTCTAATCTACTCTGCTACAATGCAGAAGCATTGTAGCAGAGTGATTGAACTTATTAATTCTGCAGAACTTGTAAAATCTGCAAATTTCAATTAATAAGCACACCTAGTCACTTATTCTTCCTTCTTTTCATTTGATGGCACTACATACATCCAAAAGAGGGTTGTACCCATGGACAGCTTTCTTTCAAGAACACTGTGAAATGGTGTTGAGAGTTCTTGAAAGATCAATCTTTGCCAAGACATACCTAACTTCAAATTATACACTAGATACACAGTCCTTCCAACAATAATAGAACATACAGTGATGGCCTAGAAACTTATTATTTTCATGTAACTTTGATGAAATTTTCTAATACATTAAATAGCAAAATATCAACTATTATTCCATAAGTTTGGAGAAAAAATGATTAATAGACAAAAGTTTGATGTTATCATTAAAAATAGATGCCCAACATTAATAGAACATATACTGATTGGAATTAATTACAAAGAAAGTAATGATTGGAATCCATGAAATTTGCATAAAAATATGATCAATAAGTGGGAAAAAAGTAGTAAATTGCATAGTAACCTTACTATTAAAAATGGGATGTGGGAAGGACCTAACTGTAGAGGAGAAGATCAAAATTGATGTATTTCATTAGGAAGGATGAAAAGTAACTTAGATTGCTAAAAAATCTGGGAAGACCTCATTCAACAATCTTAAAGTATCTCAATAACAAGGAAGGAGCAACAAACAGAAAAACTAAACAGTCGACGCAAGAGTTCAACAACACCTAGAACAATGAGACTGCAAGGAAAACACATCCATTCAAAAAGTCAAAAATTAATTGAAGCTGAGCTGCAGTAAATCAACAGTATACAATGTTTTGAGATCAACAGACAATGTTTATTTCATCAAAATGAAGACAGGCAACTAATAAAGGAGAAACACAAACAACTTCAATTACAGTTTACCAGAAACAACTTTGAAGGAGGGGAAAAATGGTCAAAAGTAATTTTCTTGGATGAGAAAAAGTGGAATCGATGGACATGATGGTTTTAAGTATTATTGGGCAGACAAAAGACTAGATCAAAAGCAGCACTCAAAGAAAGTAGTTGGTGGTGGTAAGTCATGACTTGGGTAAGAATTAGATGGAATGGAAAGACACTTCTAGTATTTATTGAAAGTCAAAACAACTCTCAAACTTATCAGGTGCATGTCTGGAGACAGCTCCAAACTTATGAACAGAAAATTGCTGGACAGGATTTTGAATTCATGCTGGATAATGCAAGCTTCCATGTATCAAAAACAATGTTATTTTTTTTTCAGAGCAAGAACATTCGATTTTTGGACTGGCCTCCTCCCAGTGCAGATTTAAACCCAATTGAAAATCTTTGGGGTGATTGGTTTTCCAATTGTATAGCAGTGGAAAGCATTACATGACTGTTCACTGAACTAAAGGCTGCTCTCATTGAAGCATGGAAAATATTCTACAAGAATGGCTGTAATCTTTGATTAATTCAATGTCTAATTATTTTTTTCAGCTTGTTTCCAAAAAACATGTATTTATTAAAATTAAAAACATTTTCGATCAGTTTGACTGATCTTCAGTTAACAGCAACATTGAATTAAAGAATACCATTTAAAAATAGAACTTAATATTTGCATTAAAATAGGAACAAGAAATAACATAAAAATAATAAATATGTGAATAAAACAGAAATTTTGATTTAAAAGAAATGAATACAATTCAACAAATAGCATGTAAATGTTTGAATGAACATGTGAACATAAAATGCAAATAATATAAAAAACGATAAATATATAAATAAAAGCAATATACTTATAATAAAAATAAACAATTAATAGAGGAAACAAAATTTAAATCTCAATAGGTGACCCCCAAGCATTGGAAAGGGTATTGGAATTGCAATGATTAACACATATGGATTTTCTACAAACTTTATAAATTTCTAACTTCTCTAGGTGAGAAAGAGTATGTATCTTAGAGATAGGCTTGATAATTCTCACTTCTTCTCAATTTATCTGTATGTCCTGTTGATTTGAATAGGCTGCTAATGCAGTGTTAGAGATTCTTGTTGATTGTACATTTGTGCTCCCTGATTCTTTGTTGTAGATTATGTCCAGTGGCACCTATGTATACAAGTTTTGTCATAAAAAATTGGTCATTTATTGGGATTTAGTAGATGCTTGGTGCAGAGTTGTGATCATATGGAATCTTATCGTTTCTTAAAATTTTGAAAATGGTCGGGTTACATTGCTATACCTGTGTAAGATTGTTAGTTTGGTGCTTCTTTATGTATACCTCCTAAAGTCGGGAAATAATTTAAGACAATCCTTTTTCTGATATACTGATATCAAATTAGTTCTTGCATTTTGATTTGGAATGTTACAATTACTCATTTTATAAATTGAATTGAATACCCATATCATGCTGCTGTCATGTCAAGGATGTTGGTACAATGGTATATGCTCTTCTTATCAATGATCTGAATGTTTAATGTGCCATTGGTCCACAGAGTTGTAGGGGATTAATGTGCATTGAAAAGTGGGCTTCCTGTTTAGCTTGTTAACTATTTCTCCAAAGTTGGATGAAATTGTAAGGGCCAAGAAATTTACTGATGTATCACTTCTTCATCTAACTGCAGGGATAAATCATAAGGGTTGTTGTTGAATGCTTGAAAAACTATTGTAGGTTCAGTATGAAAAATTTATTTTAATTGTAAAAAAATTATTAAACAGATGAAATAAATATTTGTGTATTTCTATAATGGAAATTGAAAAAATTTATATTTAGGGTCAGCTTAATTTTTGGTGTCATAACTTGTATTGCTGGAATAGTAGGCGTTACATTGGGTTCTTTATCTGCGCAGTGGTATAGACGACGTAATCCTCGTGCTGATCCACTAGTTTGTGCTTTTGGACTATTAAGTAGTGTTCCTCTTGTATTTCTCGGAATTGTTATGGCTCACAAATATATGATGCTTTCTTGGGTAAGTAAGGAATTATAAATTAATTAAATTGTAGTAATAGTAAATTTTCAAATTTGTTATATAGCATAAAGTAACTAAAAACAAATCCAAAGTTTAAAATTTACTGCTTAACTGTTATACTGTATTTAAAATAAAATAAATTAGAAAAAAATTAATACACAGAAAAATCAATTACCCAAATTTTATTAACCAAAATAGACTTTGGAAATTCCAGAAATTACAAAGTTTTTACATAGTAATGATTGTGGTTTTTTAGGTCTGTTATTGAGTTATCTTGTTATCTACACTACTAGTGTAAAACAAAGCCAAATAATCTAAATCAACCCCAGCAGAACAATTCAAAATTCTCTAAACTTTTTTTTTTTGGCTGCTGGGATTTGTTTTTATTTGGCAAACGTTTTCAACCTAATCTAATAGGCCCCTCAGACTACATCTTTCTTGGAACATCTTTACCATTAAATATTGTTCCAAAATAGTATACATAAATTTATGCAACCTATAAACAAGAAAGATACATTTGTGAACTCAATGCTTACATGACCCTTCTAATTATTTTATTATATATTATATTTATTATTATTATTATTAATTATTTTTTTATTTTTACATACTACTGGTGATGTTGTTTAGACAATGTTTGCCAACCCCCATACAACAAAGAAATAACAAATCTGTTAAAATAAACAAATAAAAATAACAAACATAAAGGGAATAAAACATATGAAGAAATAAAATAATTAAATATATTAAACTAATTTTTTACAAACAGCCTTAAATTTAGTGAATTCAAAAAACGTTTATCTTTTGATTTTTACAGCAGCCATCTGGTAGCAATAAAAAATGATTTAATGGTAAAACATTTAGATGACAATACAGTATATGTAAACATGTAGTATTTCTAGTATTGAGGGAGAGGATATGAAAATAAACATATTGGAGTGGAAGTAAGCCATTAAAATATTTATAAGTATAAATCCAATCAAAATATTTAATACATTTATAGAAATTAGGTGAACCTTGGCAAACTCAAACAACTTCTGGGGAGTTCGTAAATGGGAGGTTAGAAAGTTTGTACAGTTAATTATAAATTTGAGCCAATTCTGAATAAAGTTTATTTAGGGTTGATGGTGGGGCAGAAGACCAAATAGGTAAAGCAGAAGCAATAGGTAAAAGTTACATGGCAGTGCTTGACTTTAAAGCGATGTACAGTACCTGTCCATAGGCTTAAACCCTGTATCTGTCATCTAAGGGATTTTTTTATTGAGAAGTATTGATAACGCAGCAAAGTTCTTACATAATTGTATTGTAGAAAAATACATGAAAAATCAATTTTTTTTTTTCTTTATTTTCTGACTTATGGAGGGTAGGTAACTCCAAATTTCTAAAACATTATATCAATAATGAAATAAAAATTAAAGTTAAAAAAAAAGGTAAAAGCAAACCCAATTGCAGAGAAACACTTTATTACACTTTCAGACTCCCTAAATGCATTTCACCAAAAATTTAGGCCTCCTTCAATAGGGTTTTCAGCATACAGTTCAAACTCCAACAATATTACCTCGCGGGTTTTCATTATGAATTTCCATCTATATATCCGACAAAAGTTTCCCAGCAAATTGTAAAAATTGTTTATAAGGAAAAAAATAATAATGTGAAAAGAAAAGTTAAAGAACATTTTGTCATAATAATTATACAAAATAATACAGTTAATTTAATTTGGGCATGTTGACAGCTGCATGCTGGGAAACTTTTGTCGGATATATAGATGGAAATTCATAATAGAAACCTGTGATGGAATATTTCTGGAGTTTGAACTGTATGCTGAAAACCCTACTGAGGAGGCCTAAATTTTTTGGCAAAATGTATTTAGGGAGTCTGAAAGTGTTATAAAGTGTTTCTCTGCAATTGGGTTTGCTTTTACGTTTTTTTAATTTTATATCAATAATGAAATAAAAATTGATGTTTTAGAAATTTGGGATTACTTACCCTTTGTAAGTCAGAACAGAAAGAAAAATTTATTTTTCGTATATTTTTTGTACAATACAATTAAGTAAGAATTGTATATTTGTATTAGTTTATCATTTAAAAATGATTTGTAATTTGAAATGTGTAATTATCATCAAATTAGACTCTATATGAGTTTCTACATTTTTTCATATTAGTATTTCAACCGAATATTTATGTCTGTTTTTACTTTTATAGATTTTAATTTTCTCTGGTGAAACATTATTATGTATGAATTGGCCAATTGTAGCTGACATGCTGTTGGTAAGTGTAGTGTTCTATATTATATTATATACAATATAAATTGCTTTGGATAAAATATTCAAACTAATCTGATTATAAAAAAATACATATAATTGTAATAAACTTTGATTCTTTAAATAAATTATACCATTTAATACAATGAAAATTTATTTTTATTACAAATGAACATTTTTGACTACTTTTTTCTCTGTCAATAAATTCAAGACCTTGAATTTAAAATGTAAAATTGTATTTGTTATTTATACAGGTATCCCTTGTATAACATGGTAGTTACGTTTAAAAACAATAGTGTTATGAAAATCCATGCCACATGAAACAAAGGACTAGTGCAAAATATAAAGTTAGGCTCCAAACATTAACAAAAATATACTACTATTTTTTGTTACTAAGTGAAATATCTAAATAGGTAATCAGTTCAAATATCATTAATTTTTAGGAATTATCCAATGACAGCAAGGACTGTGGACAATGAAGCATGGTTAATGAAAAGAACACAGAAAAATTTTTAATATAAACGTAGTCAAAATGGTGGGAAAATTCAAATATTGTGAGAGAGTATCGAAAAAGTTGTGTCTTGTTTGTTGTTTCTGTGTTTGTATTAAAAACATCTTTTGTGTTCTTTTCATTTAACTATGCTTCATTATTGGTCCCATATATTTGAAAACGATTTACCACTTTTGCAACAACAGTTTTATGCACAATTTTACCAATTTCAGTAAAGGTTGTTTTTTCTTTCAAATGCATATCTACCATTCTTTGTTTGATATCATTTGATAATTGTATTCCTCAAAGCATTTTGATTATATATATATATATATATATATACCACTCTTCATCCAACTGATTATGATTGCATTTTGTTTCATACAACAGTGCAAACTAATTTGCATACTTCCTTCAGTAGCTCTACTTTTGTTACAGTGTAAAATACTGTATAAAAACTTAATTTTTTAAATAACATTGTATCAAACAATGTTTTGTCTGGATATTAGTTTACTTTGCCTTTATTTATTAAGTATAACCAGTTTTGTATGATAGTTTATTCTGACAAATTACATTATCAATCTCGTTCCTGATTTAGCTCCATGAATCAGATTTTTTATTATGACTTATTTTTATATAATTAAAACACAGTTGATGCTAGATTCAGATTTCTGAAAATATTTTTTTATATATTTATTTATAACTGCTCTATTTTGAGTCTTTTGATTATGTAATTTGAAAATTAATTGTCAGAATTCAAAGGAAAAGTTAGCCTAAACTGATATCAAATCTAATTAAAATATAATTTTTGCTAGATATACTTATTATTTTTATTGTAATTTTAAAAGCAAAAATGTTTTAAAATAAAATGGTATTGAACTTATTTAACTTTATATAACTAGTTAGGTTTTAGCTAGTTATTCATTAATTATCTAGTTTAATTAAAGTTCTAATGTATTTTTTGATTTCAGTATGTTGTCATACCTACTCGAAGATCAGTTGCTGAAGCATTTCAAATCTTGGTATCACATGCCTTTGGTGATGCCTGTAGTCCCTACATAGTAGGAGCTGTAAGTTTCTTTAATGATTCTTATTTTAAATTACAATTTTGTTTATAAATGAACTTAAATATTTATTTAACTGTTTAATTAAATTTAATTAATAATATCCATGCTAAAATGTATTTTTAACTTTTATAAATAAAAGAAATGAATAAATACTTTATGTAGTTCATATAAAGAAAATAATATAAGGATTACAACCTTCAAGGAAGATACTTACCTTATATATTAAAAAAAAAACTGAATTTTAGATAGAACATTGTTAGCATGGTAATCCATTAATCAATTAAAATGGAAGAAAACAATTCAGCAGCATTAAAATAAGTACACAATAGACTAAAATTATATAAGTGAATAATTATATAATTTTCACTTGTATTAAATTACATCTACCAGTTTTATTTGAATAATATTCTGTTCAAAATAGTATGTGGCTACTTTCTCTGTGGTTACTGCTTAAAAGTAGTTATAACAGGTAGGCCTTTGCATATACCTGTTTGATTTTTGTTATTAACAAAATATTAGCTCATCCTTATTTTAAGTCAGTCAAATTACAATGTTATTATTTTATTCTACTTGGAAGAATGTTTTCTGTAAAGTTTAATTAACAACTAGTTTTGTTAGATCTGGTCAATTTTATATTTTAGTTGCAGTTTAACTGGTATGCTGGTCTTCCTTGTTTATATGCGGCATGCTGGTCATTCCACAAAAATACAGTATTTTCGTGTCACTTGGCATAGTTCACATCCCCAGCTCTTAGTGATGCCACTGCTAAAACTTAAATATTTAATGCATTGATCCTTAGTGACAAAAAGACTGCACTTTATACTATTGTGAGGTTTTGGATGAGGTTCGAACCAGTCACTAAAAGTTTGTTTAAACATTCTTCATCAGTCATACTTTCTAGTCTTCTGAATGAGTCATTATAGAGTCATTATCAAGTTCATATTTTCTTGACAAAACTTGCATACCAACTCTATATTGTGAATTTATTCACAGTCATGGTTCTCAATCCATGTTCTGCAAACATAGCTGTTTTGAAAACTTATCACAAATGTTTCATAAAAAATAAATTTTGAAGTTTTTATTGCAAATTTGTTTCAATGTACTACGACATGATTTTATGTTTACCATTTTATTATACAATACAATAATATTTATTAGTGTATTGCTTCTATTAATTTTAGTAAATATATCCAGTTTTTGAAAGTTTTTTTTCATTACTTCATTGTTTCGTGAGAATGGAAAAATATAATTATGCTTTTCAATTTTTTAATATATTGATACTATGTTTTGAGTAATAAAAAAATATATGAATGGTGTTCTGTAGCCTCAGAAAGGTTGAGAACCATTGATTCATCTGTTTTTGTTTGTCTCATGTACCATAATTTATATTTTATTTTATTTCTATTTATTTTATGTATTAGCTTTTATTTATTTTATTTCCATTTTGTTATTTTTATTAATGTGAGAACCCCAAGAAGTCTTATCACAGACCCAATATTATCTAGCATCATGATCAACACACTTCTGTTTAAGGAGGTGTCATTCGGGATGACAAGAAAGCATGAACTACTTATGTGGGTGTTAGACACCTAGGCAAGAACTCCATTTACAATTAACATTAATTTATTAAAATTTAAAAAGACTTCTTAATAAAAGTTTAGGAGATTTCCTTCTCTTACAGTATATCCTGCCAAGCTAGTTTTAAGTCCTGACAATGTTGATATTCTTAGGAATTTGATGTCTCAATATGAGGGTCCAGGTGCTCATCACTCTTTTTATTGAAGGATCGCTGTCCTTAACAAATAGTACACTTACACATGAGTCAAAGGAACTGCAAAACTGTTTCTCTCATTTCCAAGTTGCACATATCACTCATTCGAACATGAAATTGGAGATTTGTTTATTGAACCCTTTTTCTTGTATTTACAGCTATTGTGTTCTGGTATCATGACAATAAAGAATTTTGACAATTCTGTTATGACTTTCTTCCTTACATTAATTTAAAATTATTTATCAAAAGTTTATTCTGTTTTCCCATTTCGTTGTATTTACTCTGCCCATGTAAGGATTCACTTCTCCAAGTGGACACCTGTAAATTCTTGTTGCCTACATTTGTCTCACACTCACAACTTGCATTATTTTATTTTAACTCTTCTTGACATATTTACAATATAAATTTTTTTCTATTGACAGCTTTCCTCATTGTGATGCAGTTTATTCTACACATTATTTTAACTTTTACATAAGTTTTTGAGGTTTCAGACCTTGAAAACATATGTAAAAATTAAGTTTTAAATTTGATCTGGAACTTCACATTAAGGCACAATAAAATTTCAATATAAAAATAGAATGAGAATATGTTTTCACTTTATTATTAGTAAATTATTGCCATGTTTTAAAAACTGAAGGCATTTGAGGAATTCAGATGCCAAAAAGTAATAATGATTATTACTTTTTAAAATTGAAACAAAGAATTTATCTATAGTCAGAAAGGAAGTAGCATTTAGATCATCTTATAATATAATCAAGATGGGTTGATAATAATGATGATGATAAGTGCAGAGCCTAAACAGTTAGGAGTTGAAAGTTGAAATTTGGTACACAGTTAGGATACGTCACAAGAATGTACATTAAGAAGGAATTTTTGGAAATTCCTCTCCCCCCTGTGAGAGAGGGACAGGATTAAGGATTACCCTGAAGAACTCGGCTTCTACTATGCTATTTTAGATATGGTTTTTTTTTTGCATTTTTCTGTGAAATTGAACATACTTTTAGACCCATCTAAAAATTTTCTAATTAGCCTTGGAAGAGGGGGGACCTAATTCTTGCACCTGATGAAAACAGGTAAGATTGGCTATATATCTATAAAGGTTATCTTACATAAAAGTTTATCACACCAAATGACCAATCTAACACATTTTAAAAATTCTTTATTCTTCTACTGTATACAATTTTAAAACATTTTTAAATTGTGTACAGTATTTTAAATTTTTTGAATGTTAGATTGGGTACTATGTGATAAACTCTTACATAAGATAACCTTTGTAAATATAAATCAAATACTATAATATAATATAGTAGAGGGGTTAGAAGTACAAAATAATCTATTAGTCTTAATTAATCTNGCAAAAACCCGCATCTAAAATAATATAATAGAAGCCAAGTTCTTCACAGTAAGCCTTAATTCTGTCCCTCTTCCCCACAGGGGAATATTGAAAAATCCCTTCTTAGTGTACATTCTGTTGATGTACCCTATTAAAACGCAATCAAAAACGCAAAAAACTGCATCTAAAATAGTATAATAGAAGCCAAGTTCTTTACGGTAAGCCTTAATTAATCCTAACCATCTCCCTTCAGTGGGGGGGAATTTCGACACGTATGTTATATAAAAACACATGCGTATTTGAATGCAGTGTTGTGTGAAAATTTCGAAGGAATCGGTAGGAACAAATGAACATTACATTTTTATTTATATAAATAGATAGAAGATGATCCGCTTTAGTTCATCCTCACAGAAAAGCGTAATGCCTCACAGAAAGACAAACTTAGGTCGTCATACTCGTAGCGCCATCTGTTGGACATAAAAGCCTTAACCTAGATGATATCTTTTAATTTATATGAATGTTTAACGGAATAATATACAGCCTATGTCCACCTGAAGTTCCATTCTAAATATTGGTGAAAGAATTTTTGAAATCGGATGAGTAGTTTTGGAGATTACCTGATGCAAACAAACTTACTTACATACATACTTACAAACATTACCTCTTTATAATATTAGTATAGATATAGATGTATATTTGTTCTTTTTTGATCAACAATCCTGAACCTTTTTTGATCAACAACTTTTATACAGTGACTTTGAGATGAGAGTATTCTGAAAACAAATGATGTAACTGTTGTCTGTATGCTGTCATATCTGTTTTGAGATTTGTTATGGTGTAGTAAGTATGGATGATAAACTCATTTATTTCCATTGTCCATTTTATCTGTTGGCATGATTTTTCAGCCTTTGTGGTCTGTGAATGCATTGTCACAGAAACACCAAGGCTAGGTTGGTTCCTCACATCTGTTGAGGGTATTGCAGTAGCCATGTTTGGGCCAGCACTGCTTTTGCTACCAGTAGCCAAGGGAGACAGTGACCTATTTTTTGGACATGATACTCTGCCTAACCCATGAATATGAACCTTGTTAAACTTATATAACGAACTAACTGGATAAATATACTATGAATAAAACTTAAATAATTGTATACTTGCTTACTGGAGATTAAATTCAATAAAAATAAAAACCATTCAACTATCCAGCATAATTCTTTAATAACATAAGAACGTTTTCAAACACATTAAGCGTTCATCATCAGTTAATTTCTTTAATTCGAAATGGGAAATTTGAAAAAATTACGCAAACGAATTTCAAATAAACGGTTATGTAAAAATTAAAAGGTAACATGTTATAAATGAAAGTGATACAAACAAATTTCC